ACAACTAATATTTATTATAAATGAGATTGTTAGAAAAAAATGTGATAAGTAATCTAGGGTATTGCATACAACATACAACCTAAGATTCATAATTCGAGAAGTTATATATTCCTAACAGATATATGACTAATGTGCTCTCGAAGTATGCATGGTCACATGACATATTTATTAAAGTATGAACCTTAAAGAAGCACAGATAGAGATAGTCATATCATGTGTGAGTGGGAGATATTGGATAAGGATGAGCACCCATGATGGATTAACCCAAACCGCGTTTGAAGTGGAATAAAAATCTGCTTGGTAACTACCGCCCATATATAAGTGAAGTTTTTCTTTTAGAAAATAATAATTCACTCTCTCTCTCTCTGAAAATTGTTAAAGAAAAATACTCTACGATGGTTTTCTATCCAGATTTAATTTTTGCCTCAGAGTTAAGGAGAAGAGATATTTATGTTGTGAAATACATTGTAATTCGTTTATGTAAAATATGATTGCAATGTGTGACTATTAACATGATCTTGGGATTAGTTTAGAATATTTGTTATTCTGAATTTTTTCCAACAACTAAGATGTAGGATTTTTAGGTTTTCATGTTTGAGTTATCTTTTATTTTCAGTTTCAAGTTTTTGCAGGGAAATGAGTTGGGGATAAATTGAAATTTTAATATTCCAATTAGTTACAAAGAGATTCGGAGTAGTTGATTTGAAGAGGGGTTTTGGTTTTGGTTTGGGAGAATCCCTCATCAGATAACATGAAGAAATTAGAGATTAATTACTTGTCACAAGTCGACTTGGGCTATAATAAATTTTACCATTATTATTATAGCTGAACTGTGTGTTCATGATCAATCAATCAATGATTTGTCTGTATTTTTAATCATTTTTGTCTTCTTCAACTCTCTCTTTAATTTCTTAAATAATTATCTCTAGTATTCTTTGTCTTGATTAATTATTATTGTACTCTCTTTATTTTATGTGTAAATGATTTGTTTTCATTAAATTTTTCTACTATTGCTTATAATTATCTGGAAGAACGCTTGCTCTTTATCTTTTGGCTAGAGTGGCTCAGGTACATTTGACAGTTTATATCATATATCACCTGTTTTAAGTTTCGGGAATTCAGGTTTTAATGACTCTGTATTTGTTGTTATCAGTGTGCATATAATTCTGCTAAGTCAAAGAACAAGTTTCACTCGTGGGGTTGTCACTGGAGACATGGAGACTCCTTGCTTTTTGCTCAATAACTAGGGAGAGATACTAGAGCCGCTGTTAGGGAGAGGTATTGCTATGAATACTTAAGCGAAACTTGTTCTGGAGCTGTTGTAAGGGAGAGATACTGTTGTAAATACTTAAGTTTGAGTTTTTATTGTTTTTTATCCACGGGTTAAATGGGATAAATAGCAAATTTAATTGATTTTTCTTTGTTTTTGGAAACATTTGATAGGGTAATTCGAGCTTCCTTGGTGGAAGAGCAAAAGATTGTGAAAAAAGGTTTTGAAGATCCATAAAGCAAAGGAAAAGCAAGCTTCAAAGAGCTAGAAAGTGGGATGGGGAAAGCATAACTTTTTGGATTTTAAGAAATGAATGAGAAACTGTCTTACAAGAACATCACCTGAAATGCTTCTGCATTTTTTGTATTGAATTCCCTATTTGTATTGGGGTTGAATTGACAAAATTTCTTAAATATGTATGCACTGTAATTTTGTAATCTAGATTGTTATTTTAATAAATCAGTTGCTAACACTTATTTTTATTGGGTTTAAATTTACAAATTTTTTTAAATATAAATGCTAGTTTAGTTGCAGCAAATACAAGGACAAAATAAAAATTTTGTAGCTTTCAAATTTTAAAAGTAAAATATTATTTTAATAAAAAAAAAAAAAGGAAGGGTTGATAATTTAAGATAATTTAAATCCTTATACATAATTGAGGGTATATCAGTAATTTTTAATTTAAAGGGTCGGTATATAGGTAGTTTAATTTGTTGATAGGACATAAAATAATAAAAAAAATTTAAGTCAAATAGTAAATGGTATTTTTGTCTTTACAACGTATATACGTATACTTAACGGAGTTGGCTTGTGGGTGAAAAAATGGTATTTTGAAACTTTTCGGATGGAAAAGTGTCATTAAGACAAACCTTGGTGCGAAAAAGTCGTTTACTCTTTAGAAAAATGATATTTTTTTGTTTATTAACTTTATCACTGACATCATAGGGTCCGTTTATTTTAATATTTTGGATAAGATTTTTGATATTTTTAGAGTTGGGTGAGAATAACGAGGTAAGATTCAAAATTAACAAAAACATCCTTCTAGGTTTGCTAATTTCGAAACACCCTAATATATAAAAATTTTGTAAAATGACAAAAACACCCCCACCCACAATTGCCAGATTTCAGTCACCACCCCTGGAATCTGGCATTACGATGCACGACTGGTCGGATCTGACCGTTCGTATGCCGATATAACATTTTCTGGCCAGATCTACCACGGATCTGGTCAAAAAAGGCCAGATCTAGCGTCAGCGATGGCCAAGGATATGGCCGTCGTTAACAACCAGTTATGGCCCAATCTTCGACCGTGGATCTGGCCTTTTCTGACCAGATTCACAGTGGATCTGACCAGAAAATGATAGATCAGCACACTACCAGTCATATCTAGCTGGTAGTGTATCATTATACCAGATTCCGACCACCTTCCAACGATGGTAGCTGGAATCTAACAAATGCGGGTGAATGAAGGTGTTTTTGTTAATTTTTGAACTTTTTTTTTTAGGGTGTTTAGTTAAATTAATAAACTTAAGGGATTTAAAAACAGTTTAAACATTATAATAGTATTTTGAGGATAATGAAACAAACAGGCTGTGTTTGGTTTATTATTTTGGATAGGATTTTAGGGATAGTATTGGATAGTTGGATAGGGTTATGATTACGAGAATAGGATTTGCAGGATATGTGTTTGGTAGAGTATTTTGACCTTGATATTTGTGTTGAATATTTTATTAATATAATATTTTGTTGTATTTTGTTAAAATAATGTATTATTATATATATATATATATATATATAACTTATCAAATTACATTTTAATAATACTAAATATTTTATTAGTAATTTTGTCACCCGTATATATTAAAAAACAAAAACCCATATTAATTTCAAGTACTGATCCAATTGTTTAAAAACACTACATTAATACATATATGACAAAAGTACTAATTATCAACCCTTACAATCATTATTACACGTATACTTCATTAACAACTACAACATGATCCACTGTGTGACCCACAGTGCATTCGTTATGTTATCCCGTATAATCATCATGTTGTCCGGTTGACTCGGTCCTTCTTCATTTCGGCCATATTCTGCCCCATTTTGACGATCACAATTTACTTGCTCATTACCCGTACTATTATTGGTTTGTTCGAAGATACGGTCATCCATATTGTACATTCTAATAAAATTATGAAGTACACAACATGCCATAACAATCTTTCCTTGTTTGTCCAACGGTAATTGCTCATTCCATTTAGAATACGGAACGGTCTTTTCAAAATACCGAAGGTTCTCTCGATAACATTGCGGAGTGAAGCATGTCTGTAGTTAAATAACTCTTGTGGCCTACTTCGGTTACGGCGGTTACATGCGTGTGCCAAATGGCAAATAAAAGCAAAACCCATTCCAAATACCAAATAAAACAAAAACCAAATAAAACAAAACAAAAATCCATTCAACAATCCATTAACGCAAAAAGCATTCTCTTCTACACAGATCAAACAAAAACCCATTCACCCCATTAATGCAAAAGAGCATCCTCTTCTACACAGATCAAACAAAAACCCATTTACACCATTAACGCAAAAGAGCATCCTCTTCTACACAGATCAAATAAAAACCCATTCACACCATTAACGCAAAACATCATCCCCTTCTACACAAATCAAACAAAAACCCATTCATAATCAATTCCTGTCAAACTAATAAAAAACGTAAAACAGCATCTGAGGTGGGTTTGATCTAGATGGAGGTGTGGGTTTGCGAAGGATCGGGTCACGATGGGTTCATTGTGGATAGATCGGGTCACGGTGGTTGGGTTGCGAAGGATCGGGTCACGGTGAATTCGTTGTGGATAGATCGGGTTACGGTGGTTGGGTTGCAAAGGATCAGGTCACGGTGGGTTCGTTTTGGATAGATCGGGTCACGGTGGGTTTGTGTGTGACAGGTCTATCACGGTGGGTTTGTTTGTGACAAATCGGGTTATGGTGGGTTTGTGTGTGACAGATCTGTCACGGTGGTTTTGTTTGTGACAGATCTATTTCCAGGTTCACGGTTGGGGATCTGAAGTGGGTTTGCGATGGGTTTGTGACAGAGGCATTTGCGAGTTCACGGTGGTGGGTTGACAGTAGGTTCACGTTGGGTTAGGATGTGGGTTTGTGACAGAGGGACTTGTAGGTTCACGGTGAGAAGTGAAGCACTGAAGCTGCCACTGGATACTAGAAAGTGAAATGGTGGTAATGCAAACTGGGAAGTGAAGCACTGAACCTGGTAATGGATTATCAGAAACTGAAATGGTGGTGATAGATACTGAGAAAGTGAAGCACTGAAAACAGTAATGCAAACTGAGAAGTGAAGCACGAAACTGGTAGTATACTGAGAATGAGAAAGTGAAATGGTGAAGCAGTGAAGAAAAGTGAAAAAGCAAACTATAACGGTCAAAAAAAAATTTATCAGGATAGTTGTCAGGATTGAATTATCATGACAGAGTTATGTAAATAATAAAACAAACGTTATCTGAAGAATCGGTCCAAAATATGAATAAAAATAACAAGCCATACATAGCCATAGTTATTTTGAGAATAGGATGTGAAATATTAAAACAAACGGACAGCTATTATGTTAAAAAAAAAAAAAAAAAAATTGAATTTATTTTTAGTAAAAGATAATATTATCTCTTCATATGAAAACCCCACTAAACATGCAACAAATACACGCAAAAATATATAACTCCTTTAAATCAAAAGCAAAGGATGCTAAAACTTCAAGGAGTAAATTCTCATTTCAACATATTGTGATTCTATATAAAAGTAATCTGATATTCCACCACCAAATATTAAGGAACTAATACAATCCGCAGCTTGTCTACTACAGTAAACAAGGAAGCAGAGCTTAGCTCTTCTCAGTGTTGTTCTCCAATTCTCTTCTCAGCTGGTGGGAAAAGTCATCATTTACATCATCATCATCCCAATCATCTTCCCATTGCTGACTTGTATCTTTTCCTTCTTCCTTGTCATCCCACTCTGCGGTCAATAAATCATGTCGTAATAAGTTAAAAGTAAAAGGATGACACTAACACTACAGTATAAATCACACACTAAAATAAGAGGCTTTTTTAAAAAAATAACAAATTATAGAAATATATTAACTAAAATAAAAGGATATATGCAAACTGGATTAAGAAAAATAAAAATGAGAAGGCATTCAAAATTGAAGTATGATTACATTCATACGTTGTCAGGACTCAGGAACTTTGAGTGGGACATTAAGTGGAAGTGATAAACTGTCAGCGAACATTACAAGCACCCAATTTATGCAACAATATTTTATCATCCTTGTAATATCACATAGTAAACCCATATCCTCTTGTTAAATCCTACCGGTGAAAAGGCTATACTAAAAGAAACTTGCATCTTATTTCGCCAAACAATTTGTTCACCCACATCAAATCCTTCTTCATACAAGGATACTACAACCGTTCAAACCCTATGGAGATCTTATAAAATTGCAAAACAGAAAGGTCAACTAGAGGAACTGGCAGTTGCATCCTTCTAACTGTCCCTTGTGCTACTTCTTGAGTATCAACAAGTTCCCTCAGTCTTCTAGGGTTCACATTACAATGGAAAAACACAGTACTCTAGTTTCTCATTCAGATACTAGATTAAGTTTGAACTCATTTAATTTTCAAGTAATTCAAAAACAGCTCATACTCAACACTTTAATGGGGTGTGAGCAAGTCCCTCCTCTTTAACAAAGGCTAATCTCTTGCAGCTAAACATTACAAGCAGTATCACAAAGAAGAAAAGAAGCATCCAATAGATCTATGGAGATGCTCTAGTTCAAAGAAAAATGAGGCAGAGGCGAGTTCTTGAATTGTCAAGGTTTTGGAGAAGAATTTTAGCTAAAAAAGCAAAACTTGTTTGAAGTCTACATAAGCAACACACAACATCCAAATAACATAAGATACACCACCAAACACATCCCAAGGAATGATATTGTGTTTTCCACGTAAATTAAAAATTAAAATTAAAAATTAAAATTAAAAAAAAAATAAAAAAAAAAAAGGCAACACTACTAAAGGACACCCACAAACAGCAGACAGTATAGGTTTTACATTATCATTTCATTACGTCAAGTAATAAGCAATACTAAGATACAACTATTACTACAATCCTCTCCACAACAAAATCATCCTATTAATCCCCACCCTCCCCCAGAGAGAAAAAAAAAAAAGAAACAAATGTTGCCAGTAACTCAATATATGGACTTCCTCTGGCTAGGCTCCATTAAAATCTAAATCTTTATCGGGTTACAGGATCAACCACCTAGGCTCAAGGAACTTTCCCAAGAAATTCCCCACACACTAAAATCTAAATGCAGAACTAATAAATCCCTTTTGAGAAAGCATTCCATCCAAGAACTATGATAATTTCCTAACAGAAATTCAAAATAATCACGTATCAACGCTATAACCTCTTCAGCATGTTTTGAAACTAGCCATTGGGCCTTTTATAATTTTTAAAAGGGTCACAAAAAGGCACTTAAACATTAGATAATAAAAATTTTGAGGAATTTTCAATTTCTTTTCCTATACAACTAAACAGGATAAATAACATAAATATGTTCAAGTATATTTCTTATTAACAACAGCAACTCAAGCAGATTAAATTAGCAAATAGGTAAAAATTACAGGCAAATTACATCTGATACTTGACAAAATGGTAATGAAGATATACTTAAAGCAAATAACGGGCAAACAGTAATTTTTAGAGATTAAAAAACACACCTTCATTGATCTCAAATTCTTCGAACTCGTCATCGTCTTCGAACAAATCAATTTTCAGATCTTCAGTTGCTACATTGGTTTCCTTTTCCATTGTTCAAGCTAAAAAACCCTAAAATAAACAATAAATTAGCTTCTCCTTTAATTATTTCATTAAACAAAATAAAAAAAAACAATTCAACTGAAAATTACCAAAATTGAAAGAGGAAATTTCAAAATTACCAAAACGGAAGAGACACAGACTCACAGAATTGCAAATTCACAGAGAATCAGAGCGGTTTCTTGTTCTTCAGAACAACCGAGATTCGATGACTCAGTTCTAATTTATAGTGACTTCTTCGGAGCTGGCATGGCCCTAGTGGCCCGTTCAGCCTGGCAAAAACTAAGTTGGGCCGTGGTAATGTTAGTCCAGATCCACCGGCCCATTTATAATTTTCTTTGGTTTTTCTTTCATAATAACATAATCAAGTTATACGTGTCGTTATCACTTAACTTACCACATAACCTAGAAGAACAAACAATTGTAGTTGTGAAATCATCGCCAAATGTTGGTTCTTCACGTGTTGCAATGAGAAGACACCACGTGGCCTGACATTTCTATATTTACATTGTTCAACTGCATCTTCAAATCTGCTTTACTCGAGTAATGACAATGGCAGGCACATACAAGACGAAGAACAGCCAAAAATAGAGAATAATTTAAGCCTCTTTACAATGAAGATGCCTTCAACATCTACTTCGATTCTTCTTCAGTAGCACCAGTTATGAATTGTAATCATATTATTTCAAGCATAATTCATCACAAACGATAGTTAAATTTATCAGAAAATAATATTACATATACAAACTGATAAAAGTATAGCTAAATTGTGTATTGAAACAGAATTTATGACCCTGATTGTAGTTGTCATTCATCATAATTCATTGCTAATATATTCTTATTAAGCACAAGTTACTATCATTTAACTGTCATTCTTCAGACTAATTTATCTTCACTGACTCATAAGCATAGAATAAATCAACAGTGAAAAAGGTGAATCATATGTTAATAAAAATGAAGCTGCTTAGGCCGGCAAAACGCTTTTGTTAATCAGATTTTATAATATAATTAAGTGATGCAAGAGAATGAGGAAGTGTGATTTGCAATCATAATAAACAAAATCCTCCAATCATTTACTTCCCTGTTCCCATTGAGTTTGGAACAAACGATCCAACCTTATAATACAAACAATTTCGTTTCATAATTTTCTCAGGAGCCTGTCTGTATGTGTCTAAAACTAGCTTGATAGTGCAACAACCCTCTTTATCTCTTCTGGGTCAATCTCATGAAGTTAAATGGATCAGAAGAGTAAAGCCAATCCCTTCTGCGTATCTGGATTTGTTTGAATAAAACTAGGCTCTAAGGGGGAAATCATGTTGTATTCTCTCGATACAACTATGCCTAAGAGACCTAATCTGCTCTTTGTTATGTGTATCTTCATCATGATCATCGCTGTCGAGAAATCTGCAGTTTCTCAAAGTTTTACAATAGACTGCAGCCTTCATTTTGAGCCTTCGGATTCAGATAATACAGTTTGTGAAGGGGGAGATTGGGGTGGATTTCTGCAGAAAAACTGCTGTGGTTCATCATTCCAGAGATACCTCAATGCATTGGGGCTGCGCGCGAATCAAACCGGACAGATATTCTTGAATTCCAGTGAGCAGAATAGTTGTCTGACTTCAATGAAGGCATTTGAAGCAGATGTTTTCAGTTGTGGGATTGAGAAGCTAACAAGTGGTGCTGGTGGCTGTTCTGACTATTCTGTTGGTGATGTTATTCACCATCTGGGAAATGAACTGAAAAGTTTCAGTGAACATTGTAACTTTCCAAGTTATGGTGAAGAGTGGAATCAAACATGTAGCTCCTGTGTGAGAAGTTGGGGAGCGATAAGAGGAGTACATTCGACATCCTCAGATCCCGTGTTGTTGGAGAATGAAGCTGATACCTGCAGGTTTGCAGTGATGTTATCATTAACAAGTAGTAGAATTGAAGATAAGAATCATGTCCAAAATCTTTACAAATGCCTTGCTGAGCAAGATAGCTTCTCCCGTAAGTATCTTTATAGACCTCACTCATAACTCATGGATTTCATTAAAATATTTTTCCAGTAAGGATCAATTCTAGATTCTCACTTTGTTCTGCAGAGAATCAAGCATCAGAGAGTAAAAGGAAGAAGAAACTTGACACAGGTGATTCATTATCTATTTTCAAAAATAGAAACTATAAACTTTGATGGTGTGTTCTCCATTCTCTTTAACATCAAGAATTTACATGAAAACAGGTATTTGGATTGTGATCGGAGGGATCTTTGCCGCCATAATTGTTACCGCCGCATTCATTTTCTTCAAAAGATTCTACAAATCAAAGCCAACATCCAAAAGACCTGGTATGCATAGCCTTTTTTAGCAACTATAGAAGGCATTACTATAATTCATAAGTACAAAAACATACTGATTCTGTTGTTTTCATTTAGCCTCATTCAAGGACGTTCAACTGAAGGATCCTGGTTGTCCAAAATTTCCAATCAAGGAGGTGTATTCTGCTACACAGAATCTAAATGACATAAATCTCATTGGTGAAGGAACTGCTGGTTAGTATAAATGGATATATATCCAATCAAAATTTAAGTTTCCCAGGTTTCTTCCAGATGGTTTGATCTGTTATTTTGTTCTTGCATCAGGAAAGGTTTATAAAGGCGTGTTGTTAACTAACCGGCATGTTGCTATTAAGCATATTATCAATGATGGAAATGTGGAGACTTTTGTCAGAGAAGTTGCAAGCTTATCTCATGTTAGACACCCGAATCTTGTCGCTTTGCTTGGCTATTGCTTAACTGTAGATGAGGGTTTTCTCATTTATGAACTATGTCCCAATGGCAGTCTCTCCAAATGGCTTTTTGGTATTCCTCTATCTTGATTATAAATTTCTTATATATACACATTTTATATGTGTATAGGCTGATGAAAGTGATTCATAACAGGGAAGGATAAGATACTATCCTGGATCCAAAGGCTTGAGATTGCGATTGATAGTGCTCGAGGTCTTTGGTTTCTCCACACTTATTCAGAAGGCTGCATTGTTCATCGCGATATCAAGGTTAATTATCTCTAATCAAAATCAATTTTCTGCACTGTTCATTGGTAATGATATTACATATCCTTGATGAGTGTAAAAATTCTAAATGAATCAACTGAATTTCGGTCCCTCTTGCAGCCAACAAACATTCTCCTTGGTCCAAATTTTGAAGCCAAGCTTTCAGACTTTGGCTTGTCTAAGGTCATTGACCTGGGAAAATCCCAAGTGAGCTCTGAAGTAAGAGGAACTTTTGGTTATGTTGATCCTGAGTACCAAAGCAACTGCCAAGTGAATTCATCAGGCGATGTTTACAGATTTGGAATAGTACTTTTGCAGATTCTCTCAGGGAAGAAAGTCATTAATATGAACTTGAAGAGACCAATGCCTTTAAATAAAGTGGTAAGAAACCATGAGGCATGCCTCACTCAATTTCGTATTTTCGGATCTATTTTTTCTACTGTAACTGGTTCTTCTTAATTTCCAGGCAAAAGTCCTGACAAGAGGTGGCAGTATAATAGAATTTGCTGATCCTAAACTTAATGGGGAGTACTCAGCAGAAGCTTTCGATGTCACGCTTCGATTGGCTCTGTCATGCACAGCTCTTAAACAACAACGACCATCCATGGAGCAAGTTGTTTTAACATTAGAGAAGGCCCTGGACATAACAACAACAGCTAAAGTTTCTACTCCTGAAACTTCAACTGACCAATTTTACACTCCGTGAGAGACAAGTTTTAAAGTCTCAGATTTAGTGCCTTATTCATTGTAGTAATAATTCTCATAACAGAATGCAAAATGGAACAATAATTTTCTCCATTTATGATGGAATTGGTTATAGTTTCTTTCCTTTTGTAACAAAAACATTAAAGAAACTTATTTCTCTCTTTTTATTTGTTAAATATGAATTCATATCGACAAATCCTGTCACAAATTACATTGGATCCCTTCCTCTTCCAAGATTTGTGCGCAGGATTAATCCTATATCTGTTGTTTCACTGCAAAAAATTTAATCAATTAATAAGTTAACCTTTCAGACAGTTTTGAGGTTATAAAGTTAAAATGTCATTATTAATTAACTCTAAATTACGAGTAACAGATACAGAAATGCCATTAAATAAAATCTCTATCTATTCTTTCACTTTTCATAGATCTTGTACTAACTAAACATCCCCTTGGTCTACAGAGAAATCAGGCTCATCTGGCTTAAACATCTTGGGCATCTTTAAGCTACTAGAAGCAGCATCGACCCCTGGAACTGAACCTTTCTGCTGAGTTGCTGCATTCCGGACATTGCTTGCACTTTGAGCTGCGGCATTCCCACCAGTACTTCCATGAACATACTCATGATTTCCATCGGCTACTTCCTCCATGTAATAGCTATCTTGGTCAGGAATTTGCTTGTAGTAGAAGCTACCCTCTCGTCGAATCAATTCCTTTGTCATCTTCCTCTTCCTAAACCTTCTCCAAGCAGATTGTATGAAGCATGCAGCCCATGTTCTCCATTGGTGAGAGTAGTATCTAAAGGCATGCTGGAGCCTCTTGCTGTGGAGCTTCTTGAACTGATGTGCAACAAATTTGAGGTCTTCAGCTTGAAGGGCGAAAGCTTCAACTTCACAAAGGGCTCTCACCGTCCGAGTTGAAGAAGGAAAGTTGAGTGTAGAGGAGGGCATTAAGGCCCATGTTAGCAGCTCTTCACCACAGAAATCACCAGGTCTAAGAGTGATGGAGTTGAAGAAGCCAGACCTTCCTCCATTAGTTGTAGAGCTCTCCAGTTTTCCTCTTATTATAAAAAGCATCTCATTGACTGGATCACCCTCTCGAACAATGTATGTATCTTGAATACTCAAAGATGAGATGAGACGCTGGCATATTGCATCAAGAAGCTGGTCATCCATTTGGGCAAAAAATGGAACCTGAGCAATGAAAGAATAAGAATTTTGGTAGCTAAAAATATATTGTATGAAAATCAAAAGAATTCAAAATGGTTCATTACATGTTTTAGTCCTAATGAAGAAGAAAGACTTACACGGCGAACAAGAGCAATGCATAAGTGGCGCTGAATTTCTCGACGGAGGTCCAGAGGCAATGAACGCAGTATAGATTCTTCGTTGACTCCTCTTGTAGCTTGCCATTTGTACTGAACAAATTGGCGAACACGTTCTCGCAAATCTTCAGGCAATTGACGGTGCTTCATCCACTCCTCCGTATCTCTTCGCTTAACTCTCCATTCTTCAAATCTTACAGTCATAGATTGCAAATATTTCTTCAAGAAGGAAAAAGAAACAACAAAGCTTTCTCAATACATCATACATACAACTACATATTGCAATGCCTGAGATAACTACTTGGCATGATAGTTTTATCAAGTGTTAATTAGTAAAAAAAAATCCTCCTGTTTAACCACTGAAAACTTGTTGATTTGCTGAAAAAATGGTAGTGGACGATACCTGCATATTGCCAATCAACAGTGCTGAAAAAAATGAACCAGATATACAGATAAGAATGGCAAATATATTCTCGCCAATATATACGCTTGTATCGAATTCTTGCGCATAAGAACTGCAAAGAAAAACTAAAGGATTTTATAAGCATGAACTCTCTATTGAATTACACGGGCAAATTAACACATAATTAAACTCAACTTAAAAATACATATTCGCTTAAATGTGATATTAGAAGTCATATGAAAGTGGTGATTATATGATGTAATTAGTTAAATAGACAAAAGAGATTTGTCCTACCTTAAACTTCTTAAACCCCACCAAAGACAATATAATATCCTCCTAATGATTGATGGTTCGGAAGCAACAGAATCGGTGAAAGCATCTCCAAATATTCCAAACTTAAAGTTTTCAGCATCATCACCCTCATGATCTGCATTGCATTTTTTTATAACATTGGTGACAAGCACCCAGTTCAGCCGTTCAGGTGACTTCGAATAACTGCAATCCAGAAAATCGAGATTGCATAGAACTCTTTTCTCGTTCTCTGTCTCACACTCTTCTCTCCAGCATTCGAATTGCCGCCCTATGGACAATAGGTACCACGTTGCTCCAACTACCTGCACCAACAGTCAAATTCAGTTTTTGAAACTAGAAGGAGAGTATATATATGTATAATTAATTCTCTAGTCGGACGACCTGATAGATGAAAGAAAAAAAAGCAGAGGGGTGACCTGATTCTTACATGACTGGCAAGCAAGAAAAGAAGGAGATTGTAGGCAGCTCCAGACCAAGCAGTCTTAGCAACAACTCCTGTAGTTTTGATAATTCTTTGGTTTAAAGGGAAGATAACAAATAGTCTGGGAATATATTGCGCTAGAACAATGAGAGCCAGAGTGGAGTTGTCATTAGATTTGGTTTTTATCGCGGGAATTACATACCAGATCACAAGCTGCAAACCACAAATTTACAAAAGCCTCAGCTTCAACACTTACAGATAAAAAATTTCTCAACTCAAATCAAAATGTTGCCTAGAAATCAAGAAAATGCTGGATATAAGAAAGAAAGACCGAACCTGAGGCAAAGGAAGCGCAGCGGCAAGATCAATAATAAAATCAGACCTGAAATACCTCATAGAAATCTCATAGGGATCCATAACCAACTCTCCCCTCCCAAAAACTCTGGAACTGGGTGACACAAAAGCGGTCCTAAACTTCATAAAAATATGAAGCGTATAAAAAAGATCAGCAACAGAGCGAAAGAAGGTTATATAAAAACCCGAGTCAGTGTCTCTTTCTAAACAGCCATCACGCCTAGCCGTGGGTAGATAAAAGTACAGCGGGTCAATGAAGAGAGCGATGATACATGAGGCAAGGAAGACGTAATTCCAGCGTGAGACAAAATCCGAGTCAGGGTCGAGTATTTTGCAGTGCCAATAGAGGAATTTAACAGTGGGGACGGCCGCAGGATTGGTGGTGGTGAGAGTTGATATATTTTTAGAAGAAGGAAGGTTTTTGTGGTGGAAGGGGCGGAAAAGGAAGGAAGAGGAGGTGATGGAGGTGGAAGAGGGGAGTAATGGAAGGCTGCTTTTTTTCTTATCCATCATCTTCTTCTTCCATGGCGGCGGATTCCCGAGGTTATCGGATTCCGCTGCAAGGAGATACGGTGAAACAAACTTATCTAGACGAGATTTTCTGCCTTCGGAAATGAAAGAGATGACAAAACAGCGTTGTGAATTCTGAGTATGGAAAGAAAGAGAGACACAGTGCGGACGGAAATGAAGTTAGTTAAGAAAGAAAAGAGAATTTCGCGGGAAACCGAAGAGAAACCTTAAAAATCGGAAGGGGAAGGACAAAATGAGAATGTAAAAATTTCACTCAAATTCGTTTCATCTAGCTGGCGGGCAGCCACCACAAATGGAGAGAAATTGTCGTAAACAACAGAAATTTTGAAAAGCAAATTATTGTATAATTTAATACTACATAATCACCTTCAAAAGCCGAATGTTAGAATGGGTTAGATATGTAATAATCATTTTTAATCTTTTTTATCAACACTAATTTCCAAAGAGCAAAAGACATATTCCCACCTAAGGGTTAGTGAAATGACAATTTTCGTTTCATATATTCCAGATTATCGACTTTAAATTAACATTATTAGTGAATATGGAGATGCAAAAAGTGTTATTACCAAACTGTCATCTCATCTTCTATTCTTTACCCTCCCATTTTCACGATTGTCAGCCAAAGCCAAATTTGCCATTTTTGGCTCGGTGACCCCCTTTTTCATCACCATCTTCCTCCTCTTGGCTTCTCTACAAAACCCTTCCCACCACACACTTGTTTAGCTCTCATTGTGCTTCATCGTCCTCCCACTGGTCCGATTGGCATGCCTTTAGCTATTTCAGTCGATTATATCACTAGAAATTCCTCTTGTCACTGCCAATCACACCACCGGCTTACCCTTTAAAACCCCTTTCATTCTCAACCTCCATTAGCCACCATTCGCCACCTCCAAATCCTTAGGGTTTTCTGTTGAATGATGAATTGGTTTTGCAATTTATAAAATTAGTCTTAATCGAGCTGATTAGTGTGTGTTGCGTTGTCCTGATTTGTGTGTGTGTGTGTGTGTGGGTTTTGTTGTGAGGTGGCAATTGATTTAGCCATGTGGAAGTCAAAGTTTAATTGGGCAGTCAAAGTCATTTTTGCTAAGCTAAGGGGCAGTTCTGTCAAAACTAGTTTTCATAAACCTAATTCAAATTAGGTTTTGCCCATTTTTCATTTCTCTCGAGTTTTCTCTCTTGGTTAACAGAGAGAAAAGTTTGTTACGAAATGTTGATGCGCTGGAGTTTCCAAGAGCGTTGATGGAATCAACGGTAGTGGTAGGTCTTAGCGGATTGTTTTCTGTTTCCTCTTCTGTATAAATCTATTCTAATGATTGGTTATTTGGTGTGTGGTGTATGAGAGGTGTTGAGATCTGGGTTTACAGAGGGGTGTGTGCACTGTGTAAAGGGTGAGCGTATCTCTGTAAGATTCTTTTATTCTCATAGTGAAATTGTTTATTACCCTGGAGAGGGATGTAGGTAATATAAGATTACCGAACCACTATAAATCTCTGTCCTTCATTTCATTTATCTGCTGCATATATGTGGATTTTATTGCTGTTATATGTTGGATTTATTCTGCTGTTGAATGTTGGTTTTCTGCTTTTTGGTTTGCGATTTGGTTCTCTAAGTTTTAACAAGTGGTATTAGAGTTAGGTTATCATTCTAGCACCTAGTTTTTTTTTTAGGTTAAGAGATCTTTTGTGAATCTGAAGCATCTGGCTTAGATCTGGGTTCCTTTTTTTTAAACACGCTGCAAGTAAGGGTTTGTTTAAGTCTTGGGTAAATTGGGGTTTTTTTACTCTAGGAGTCTGTGAAGGGTAGAAACAGGAAAATGTCTAAGTTTGAGGTGGAGAAATTCACAGGGGATAATGATTACGGATTGTGGAAGATGAAAATAAGGGCTATCTTAATTAAGGATGGTTTGGCTGATACTTTAGAAGGTGAGGATAGTTTACCAGACTCCTTGTCTGAGAAGGAGAAGAAAAACCTATTAGATAAAGCCTACAGTCCTTAATTCTAGGTTTAGGGGATAAGGTCTTAAGGGAAGTTAAGAAAATGGAATCACCAGTTGAAATTAGGAAAAACTAGACTCTTTATACCTGTCAAAGTCCTTCCTAATAGGTTAGTTTTAAAACAGAAGCTGTTCAGTTTTAAAATGGATGAAAACAAAATATTAGGGGACAATATGAATGACTTTGAAACTGGTACAGGACTAGAAGGGCTTAGTGTTAAGGTTGAGGATGAAGATCAAGCATAATCCTAATTAACTCACTTCCAAAAATTTTCTCTAACTTTGTGGACACCTTAAGTATGGCAGGCAAACCCTTAAACTAGATGAAGTAGTGGTAGCAATTATGCTAAGGATGCTGAATTTAAAAAGGAAGGTAAACTAGATGGTGAGGGGTTTTATGTAAGAGGAAGACCTGATAGGAAAGGCACAAGAAGGGAATTTCAGGGGTAGATCAAAGTTTAAGTCTAAGTTCACTAGGAAATGTTTCACTGTCATAAGGAATGTCATTTTAAGAGGGACTGTCCAATAGGAAGAAAAAGTCAAGGGAAAAGGATGCTAGTGGAAGTGTAGATATAGCTTCTGATGGTTATGAGAGTTCTGATGTGTTAGTTGTTTCTGAAAATGAAACTGATGTGAATGGATACTTGATTCTGGCTGTTCATCCACATGACCCAAACAAGAGTTTTCTGTCAAACTTTAAGAAACTAGAGTCTGGAAAGGTGTTGATGGAAATAATGCAGCTTGTAGAGTCTTAGGAATATGAGATGTAAGGCTGAATTTGCATGATGGAAGCTCAAAATGGCTCACTAATGTAGATACATACCAGAGCTAAAAAGAAACTTAGTTTCTCTAGGAAGTCTAGATTAATTGGCTATTGTTATAAAGCTCAAGGTGGAGTTCTTAAAGTAACTAAAGGGTCCTTAGTTGTAATGAAGGGTGAGATGAGGAATGGGCTGTATATTCTAAATGGTTCAACCATCACTGGAACAGCAGCAGTATCCTTATCTTAGAAGTCTATAAGACCACTTTATGGATAGGAGATTATGGCACATTAGTGAAAAAGGTTTAGTTGAGTTGGGTAGCAAAAGGTTCTGGAGGAGATAAATAGAGAAGCTGGTTTTCTGTGATCACTGCATTTATGGGAAGAATAGAATCAGATTTAGTGGGGGAAACCACTGTTCTAAGTCTATTTGACTATATCCATTCAGATGTTTGGGGACCTACTAAATATCCATCCTTGGGAGGTTGTAGATATTTATCAACATAATAGATGACTATCTAGGAGGGTTGGGTTTATTTCTTGAAAACTAAGGAGAGGCTTTTAGAAATTCAAGATTGGAAAGTCATTATTGAAAACACAAACTGGAAGAAAATTAGGAAAGTTAGAACTAATAATGGTTTAGAATTCATAAATGAAGATTTTGATAATCGTGTAGGGAAAGTGGAATTCTGGACATAGGACTGTAAGGCACACACCCAGCAGAATGGTTTTGCAGAAAGGATGAATAGGACCATTCTAGAAAAGGTTAGAAGCCTATTATCCTGTTCTAAGTTACCCACCAAGTTTTGGGCAGAGGCTGCCCACGGCTGTTTACCTAATTAACAGAATACCCTCATCTATTAGTTTAAAAACACCCATGGAAAAATGGTCTGGGCATCCTGCAAGCTATAGTAACCTTAGGGTTTTGGCTGCACTGTTTTTGTTCATGAAAAAACTGATAAGTTACAACCAAGGGCTATTAGTTGCATTTTCTTAGGATATCCTGAGGGCATTAAAGGTTATAAATGTTGGGATATTGGAGGGAAAAATGTATCATTAGTAGAGATGTCAGATTTAATGAAGATGAGTTGGGTATTTGGGTCAAAGAGAGTAACAATGCAGATGGACAGAGGTCTTAAATCTGGATAGGTGGAGATTTTTCAAGTCTGAACAATCTGTTTCAGACACTGTTTCAGATTCCCATACCCAGGAGGAAGAATCTAGCTTAGGAGAAAATGGTGATAAGTGATGATGGACATGACCTGCAAAATTATCAACTAGCTAGAGACAGGGAAAGAAGGGATAGACCCACTAGGAGGTACTCACATGCTGACATGGTAGCATTTGCTCTTCAAATTGCTAAAGAGATTGATGATGAGCCAGGACTGTTAAGGAAGCCATGATTAGTAAAGATTCCAGAGGATGGAAAACTTGCCATGCAGGAAGAATAGAGGCTTTAATCAAAATCAGACCTGAATTCTTGTTAACAAACCTGAAGGCAGTAGGGTGGTTAAGCGTAAATGGGTTTTCAAAGGAAAGAGGGTTATACCAGGGGTAGAAGCACCTAGGTTTAAAGCTAGGTTGGTAGCCAAAGGTTCACACAGGTTGAAGAGGAGTTGATTATAATGAATTTTCTCACCAGTTGTGAGACATACCACTATCAGAATTCTTTTAGCCTTAGTGCTCAGTTTGATTTAGAATTGGAACAATAGACATCAAAACTGCTTTCTTGAATGGTGATTTAGAAGAAAGAATTCAATGGAGCAGCCTGAATTGTTTGAAAAGGGGTCTACAAACCGGTTTGTTTGTTGAAAAAATCACTGTAGGATTAAAGCAGTCACTAGGCAGTGGTATAGAAAATTTGACTGGTTTATGGTGAATGCTGGATTTATTCAAAGTAGCTTTGATGGTTGCTTTTATTTTAAGTGTTTGATAGTGAGGTGCTACATTTATTGGCTTTGTATGTAGATGATATGCTTGTGCTTGTAAAGATCTTTCTGAAATTGGTAGGTTTAAGGAGAGAGGAGTAGACAATTTGAAATGAAGACTTAGGGCAAGCTAAAAAAATCTGGAATGAATATTGAAAGGGATAGAAAAATTGGAAAATTGATTTGTCACAAAAGGAATATGCTGGAAAAGTTATCAGAAAGTTTAATATGAGTAATTCCAAACCTGTCAAAAACCTACGACAGCACTTAAACTCAGTTCAGTTCAATGCCCAGAAAC